GGCATGTTTAACGAACTGTCGCATTTAAAGATGAACTACAGTAAGTTAAATACCCCTCTAGTATCAACTTGAAAGGAAAAAAAGCTAACAAACTGTCAAAAAATGAAAGCTCCCAGCTCATAATGAGAATTATGCCATGTCTTTTTGTCAGTGAGAGTTTCATGCATTAGAATGCCTTATATTCTTGTAGCGTTTCATTGGAAAGATTGAGACAATATAATATGCAATTTGTAGTAGTAGTTGCTTCTGGTGAGCAAAATATAAAAGTGAATGTGCATCTCGAGTAAGCTTGGATTAATATGTAAGAAGTCAAATATTTTGTTGACAACTTTGTGAATAAACTGATTCACTTGTGTTATTGTTTTGTTATTCATGCAATCAATAATACAATTTATCAACTATTCAAAACTCTAAGAGCTACTACGTTAACTATCCATAAGACTCCAAGATATTTAAAATGTGGTATGACAGCAAATAAAACTTGCAGTTCTCATGTAATTTGGATGTTGGTCCTTTGCCACATATAATGAACTTCTGTCTCAAGGAAAGNACCTGAAAAAAATCAGAAATACTTTCTTACAAAAAAAATTGATTTTATAATGAATTTTCATTTTATAATTTTTGTTTTATCTAATTTTATCTAATTTTCACAAGCATAATGACATCAAAGGAATTGATAATTGGCCTGGAAATTAGGAACACTCGTTGTTAAACAATTTCTTACCGAAAATGATTTTATAATGACTTTTCATTAACCATAATGAGATCTTGAATGAACCTTTGCTTGAAGGTGAATATGTCAATGACTCAACTCTTTACAAAGGCAAATTGTTTAACGACAAGTGTTTCTAATTTTTTTCAATTGGGGCTACAGTGGGAATGACAAATGACAGAGAAAATGTTAGAGTGAGAGAGATAAAAGAAAAAAGATTGAGAAGAATGAGAGAGGTAAGTAAAGATTTGGAGAGTTTCTTTTTTTCTAGTTTTGAGAATGAAAATTATTAAAACGTTTAACCTTAAAACTTAGAATCCATGATATATACGGTATTTTTGTCTATTAAAACCGGGTACACATTGATAAAATGTACTAAACAGGCGCGTTAGCAAACTATATATATATATTAAGATCGCCGCTATATAATATATATAGAATAAAACAAGATATTTAAAATTATGAAAAATGCATCTCAATTATTTAATTCAAAAATAAAATGTAAAAGTGTGTATGTCATTCATGAAAACATGTTACTATATTTAATCTTTGAAAATAAATTTGAATTTAGTTATATAACATTAATTTTATAAAAGAGTCATGTGCCATTATTTTTTCGTGTCTCCCTTTCAGTTGGCCCAATCTACATTTGGTGAGATTTTTCTGCCACCTGTGCTATTGCGTTTTTTTATTGTTGGATCTCATTAATGTTACATGAGAAAATTCACAAACCTTAGAATAATATGCAGCTATTTACCCTTCATGGTTTCTGATAACAAATTTCTCCTTATTTATTTTGAGGGAATGCATTATCAGATGATTATGACAGAGTTTCATTTCACATTTCTGGAGGGTAGAACGGAATTAGCAGGTATGTTATGGAATATCACTGCTAAATTTACATTATCTAATTTTTCTTGTTACAGTGAGAAGTAATAGCAGTAGTATTAAGTGATGTTCGAAATCCACAAACTCTTTCACTACAGAAATGTGGTTCCAGATCTGACGAGGGAAAAAAGGGCACAAAAATTAAGATATCAAGGACACTACAGTATACTCCTTTTTTTTCGTGCAGTACATGCATCTTTTTACATATCATAAGATGCCTGATACAAAGTGAACACACCCTTATTAATGAAAAGCTGGACCTGTCAGTTACCAAATCTATGCATGCTGCAATCTTCTTTTTAATGAAGTAGAAAAACTGAGTTCATAGAAAACATTACCTTCCCATATGATCACCAGACTTTCTGATAATCATTGCAATCAATTGCTATACACCTGCATAACCATTTCCTTGTTGACTACTTTGTCCATATATATTAGTTATCCTTGGAAATGAAGCACTAGGTGTTTGGATACCATGGTGCTGTGCACAGATCCTACTCCTTTAGAATCACAAAGGTAGGCATGGAATTGATTTTGAAGAAGACTAATTCAACATCATGTTTATACTGCTTGAATCTTCTTGTTTAGTGACTATAAACCCTTTATTTTGTAGATATGCTTATAATCCATACTCATATTATCTGATGTAAAATGACCAGAAAGACTCGTCAGAAGCATCATAGCTAAATAAAGCTTGATGGGTTGCTTCCCGATATAGAATAACACACAAAATAGCACTCCTTTTGAGGCGTCAGATAACGAGAGAGGACAGGGAAATATCATCAAGAAATAAGTCTGCCCATTTCCGAACTTCATTGTGCACACTGTCTGTTTGAAAAATCGTTGAAAAGTAGTGAGAAATTACGTTTAGACGAAGTGTTGAAACTACATTAGTTTTTCAGTTAGAAGTTACATCTTAAGTGAGAAACCAAGTTAACATGCTTGTAACTGCATCTATTATTAGCACACCAAAATGAGAAGTAGTTGAGAGAGAGACCAAGTTTGATGCTAAAAGCACTCTCAATAATTAAACAACATCATATAGTCTATAAACCTGGTTCAAACCTTGAGAGATTTATAGCCGGTGGCTGCATTCAAAATAGGAATATTCAAGTGTCACCTTAAAAATCTGTACACCATAGCAGATTGCCAGCAGAACCCTTTGGTTCTGGATATGATGAGTGTTGCAGTCATGGGGCCAACCACATGGACCAGGGGTCTCTTGGCCTTCAATTTTATGCCTACTGGCAAGGAAATCACTAACTCCAGATTTTGACTCAACCTAAAATACCATGCTGAAAGGGACCAGTGCAGGTTGCTCACAAATCACTAACAGACACTACTTCAATATTTTGTCTCCAACCATGTACAAAAAGTCTTGAAAGTAATATTAATGCATGCATCTCAAAAGGCACCACTCTTTGATGTATCATTTGTAGCACTGGTCCCAATAGGAAAAGATTCCTTCCCTTCTTATCGATTACAGTCTTACTCTTGTTAGTGAATGCAAGTCCAAAGTCTATTTTCTTTCAGAGACAATTCTGTTTGAGGAATAATTGAATAAGAAATATATACACTTCTTCCCATGGGAGACTTGTACTCTGGTTTGTCACGTTAACCTCTTCTGCAGGTCCAGGTCTTCTGCAGAGAAGGAGTAGTCTCACCTAAATATCACGATGGCAACTTCTCAATGTGTCTACATCGATCTAGAATTGCACAAGGCTAATTTGAAGTCGCTGTGATCGATGTCATTTTCATACAATGAATGAGATACTCACTTAGGAGCAATCTGATTCCCAAGCTTCAAAGGCCACATCTGCCACTTGCTTAAGGCATGTTTAACGAACTGTCGCATTTAAAGATGAACTACAGTAAGTTAAATACCCCTCTAGTATCAACTTGAAAGGAAAAAAAGCTAACAAACTGTCAAAAAATGAAAGCTCCCAGCTCATAATGAGAATTATGCCATGTCTTTTTGTCAGTGAGAGTTTCATGCATAAGAACGCCTTATATTCTTGTAGCGTTTCATTGGAAAGATTGAGACAATATAATATGCAATTTGTAGTAGTAGTTGCTTCTGGTGAGCAAAATATAAAAGTGAATGTGCATCTCGAGTAAGCTTGGATTAATATGTAAGAAGTCAAATATTTTGTTGACAACTTTGTGAATAAACTGATTCACTTGTGTTATTGTTTTGTTATTCATGCAATCAATAATACAATTTATCAACTATTCAAAACTCTAAGAGCTACTACGTTAACTATCCATAAGACTCCAAGATATTTAAAATGTGGTATGACAGCAAATAAAACTTGCAGTTCTCATGTAATTTGGATGTTGGTCCTTTGCCACATATAATGAACTTCTGTCTCAAGGAAAGTCAACCAATGATTCATTAACCAGTTCATGTTTTTCCTACCTCGGAATCTACTAATCAACAGTTAAACACATGGAAACCACTTGATTTTGGTGTGAACTGTTTTCCTCTAATAAACTTGATGGCTGGCTGATATCTACATTAATTGAACAACGTGACACTGTAAAAGGCAGGTGAATAAACCAGAATAGAATGGCGGGTGCAGTTGAAAAATAACCATACCAAGTGCAGTTCGACATTTAATAGCACTAACTTTGTAACACACGTCACGCCTACCTTAAGGGTCAAATTAAAATTATAGTCACTGCTTCAATAGTAAAGACACAATCCATCCTTCCATAAACACACACATAAAGAGACATATATTATATTATATGTATGAAATGTTTGATCGACGCCTGCATCAGTCGAGAAGAGACATTAAACAAGTTAAGACAATAATCTGTTTTTCACATGTGAAAATATAATTGACAATGAATGCCTACAAGTTAGCAAATAACAATGAATAATACGACCACGGATCGAAAGAAAAGAAACTTCCTTGGCATATACGTACAAGTAACTATATTGTAATTGGCGACCAAGTGAAACGAATTTCGATCAAAATTGAGTCAAATGCTTCCTAGAGTGGACATTAAACTCATTTCTTGCCCAGAGAAAAAGAAATGCACCTAATTACACTATAGTTTCCGATGAGCAGTGGCAATTACCAAAAATGTACGAGACAGAGAGGAGTGAGATGGCACAAGTTTGGAGGCCTACATGTAAAAGTCTCATTATATTTTTCTAAGTTTCTGTTTATCGGATTAACAAGATAAACTAAAAGGGTTAAAAAATCAGAAAAATGTGGCCAAATGAAACAAAGTGACAGCGATCTACTACCAGACAATCTCGCTGGTTGTCCATGCTGCGATATGCTTGGAGAGACACGTGGCAACAGAAAACACCAAAGTGACAAGTTAAAAGGTGGTGAGTGACTCATGTCTAATCCATTTGAAGGACCCTGATATTATATATGGACGTATTTATTTATACTAAGAAATAAGTTATTGTGTGACACAGTTTTCTAACATTAGTGTCTTAGCATAGGACAACAAAAATCTGTGTTGACTCCCTCCCTTCCTCCCTTCACCATATCATTATTAAGAGAGAAACAAAAAAGAGAAAGAGAGAGAGAGAGAGAGAGAGAAAGAGAGGGTGTGTGTGATCTTGCAAGTTCTGTTCCGGCAACACCAACAAGGCATGGCGATTTCAGGGTCGGAGACTCAGAGTTCGTCCTCACTGAAAATTGTGTCTCAGGTGGAAGTGGAGTGTGTGAAATGCGACTCGTGCGGGTTCACAGAGGAATGCACGCCTGCGTACATCTCGAGGGTGCGTCAGAGGTACCAGGGTCGGTGGCTCTGTGGGCTGTGCGTGGAGGCTGTGAAACACGAGGTGGTGAGATCAGAAAGTGTCATCACCACCGAAGAAGCCCTGGACCGCCACATCACTTTCTGCAGAGAGTTCCGATCATCCACCGTTCTCAACGAAACTGAGCACCCCATCTTCGCCATGGGACGCCTCCTCCGCCGGAGCCTCGATTCTCCCAAGCCTCTCCGATCGAACTCCACTGGAGCTCTCGGGGTTAAAGCCCTGCAATTGATTCGATCGGAGAGTTGCTTCTCTTCAATCTCCGGCTAAAAGGTCTGTTCTTTTTTCTGTTTTGTTTTAGGCTCTTGCAGTTGCAGGTTAAGCATGAAGCATATAATTGAATACTCTGTGTGTAAATGTTTTTCTGTGACTGTGACAGGTTTTAGAAATCTACAACAAAGGCTCTAACACTGCCCCTTTATGCTTAGATTGATTCAGGGATTTATCCCATGATGACTTTAATACTAGCTCCTTTTTTCTATGATCTTTAATGTATATACAGACTGATTATCAAATTCATAAATTGAGTTCTTCTAATCTGTTTCCCTTCTCGGTGTTTTCTTGAAAAAGCAAAATTTAGATACATTTTTCGTGTGTTTCTAGTACTGTTTTCTGATGCTAATCTTTACTATGCCGAAGATTATTAAAGTAAAACTGAAATTTTGATTGAAATATAATACTGAAAGCACGTAAGAAACCATCCTAAAGAGCATAAAACTTGATGAATATTTCGAGCGGATTTTTGTTTCTCCATTCTGGTTCAACGTATTTCCGTATGCTGTTAATTTGTTATGTTTAACTTTGGCATTGAGGTTGTAAAGGAAATCTGCTTTAAGGAAATAAAGCTGAAAAGTTTTGCAACTGCTGAATTTGAATCAGAACAGAACAAAAAGACAGCGCAAAGTTTCGATTATGATGGCTGGCTCAATGCTCAAGCAGTCCTGAAAAGGAACCATTTTTTTCTTTCATTGGCTATAGCTGTAAGCTTAAAAGAATATGAGAATCTTCAACCTTTTCCAAGCTAATAATTACAGGTGTGCTTAGCTGTTTGTGTCAATTTGCAGCATGGCCATTTAACAGTGATGCCTTCATTTTGATAATAATAATAATAAAAAGAAAGATATTAAGGAAAGTTGTTTAAATGGGGGCATTTTGCATGAGATATTTACACAAGAGGAAGGTGCAGGGAAATTTCCCTCCAGTGAAAGAGCCATCGCTTTTGTTGGAAAAGTTTAGCATTTCCAAGCTACAGTTAGTATGAGTATGCGAGCCAAAGTTTAGATCAGAATTTGGGTCACAGAAAAAATACACTGGACTGGATTGAAGCTGCAAAAAGTTGCACATCTTTCATCTTATGTTCCTTTTCTTGTGCTTCTATCCGAATGTCTTGTGATGCATTGCTTTTTTCATACCTGAATTGCATTGCTTTGCATTTCATGCGTTCAGGGGTATAACTTTTTGTAACTTTTACAGTGTGATCGTCCACTTGGATCCTTTGGCATTAGAGCTCTTTATTGACAAAGAACAACATGGTTGTGTTGTGTCTGATGTGAACCTTCGGGGTGCATCTTCTTCTCCAGGAGTTTTCTGCAAATTGTAACATGATATACTCCGAAACTGACAAAGAAAACAAGTGGGGTCAAGTATACACATCCAACAAATCGGAACATTATTAATTATATTATATGTCGTTTTATTGCCATTTGCGTGTTTTTATTGAAGACTTGGAGCTCATTCACTCGAAGATAAAAAGATAAAAATATTTAAACAAGAGCTCGTTCACTTTACGTTTCTTCCAGCTAGTTAACTTTGCTCGAACACATTTTCAAAGTTTGTGTTTACGTGTTTCTGTTAGAGTAAAATACCAAAATCATCTACTATTTTACTACATATAGGTACATTAAAAAAAATTAAGAGAGTCAACGACTTACAAGGTCGCGTATTGTGGTGTCTAACCACAATTTCTCAGTGGCAGATCTTGAGACATACGTGTAGACAGCATGAGGATTATCTTAATTTAATGCTAGAAAGTATAAGATAAACGAATGTCAGAAGCAAATAAGCATTGAGATGAGTTTCCAATGGTTCAAAACCAGAATCAAAGGCAATAAATGCAGAGTATTATTCTGGTAACAGACTAGAGAGAGTTTGAAGAAGTAGAAACTTTGAACCTGAAGGTAAGATATTATTTAGACCAAACCAAGTTCTCTCGTATTTGTTTTTTGTTTTATCCTAACAGTAACTTTCAAGTAAAACAAGACTGAAAAATATACACCCATATAAAGGCACTGGTTTCCATGTGAAGAAGAGTATTTTCAAAGAACCAAATTTGGTACATTAAACTTGTTGTCCCTGTTATTGTATTGCCTCATAAATTAGCACCATTGCTGAATAAAAAACAAATGGTGAAGTGTTTTATTACTGAATGGAATCCATCATTTCATGGGTCACCGAAATGATTTCCAATTATGCAGTTTGTTTAAAAGGTAGTTTACCTAACCCCCTCTCTTGGTGCTCATGAAATCAATCTGCGTTCTATTCCTCGTGCACGTCCACCCTTAGTGAAAAAATGGCCTAATTAATATCATAAGTCAGAGATAATAATACTTTAATAATATTTTTTTATAATATTTTAACATGTATCATTTTGTTATTATTGATATTAATATTTATGATTATCATTATTGATTATGAAATAATTTTGTATCAATATAAATATTAAAATGTTATTAAAAAAAATATTTTCAAATATCAGTTATCCCTTGTCAAGACCATCATAACCAACTTCTGTCCCCATTTTTCTACTCGTACCTTACTGCTAAACAGGAACTAAACGTGCCAATCATCATTGGTTTTCCTTTACGTGATTTCTGTGACCCTACATTGACAACAACGATCAATAACATTAAAGAGCTTCGAAATAAGAGACTCTTCTTTCTCTATGACTTGAGCACACTTGCATATGCAGGAACAGTACAAGGACAGTGTCAGTGCCATTATATTCAGTTTTTTATTCATCATTCAGAAGGGAAAAAAGGGGATGTCTAAAATAATACATAAAATAACTTTATACCATTCTTTTCGTGACTCTCGTTGATGTCGAAAAGAAATTGAATCTTAGCAATTTGTTTTTAAAAGGTGAACATACCTTTTTATAAAGGTATATTAATCTCATTTTGTGATATGTTTATGAGCAGATAAATTGATGATGTTGTAAAATAGTGACTCTCTTGTATACTTTTACAAGATTAATTATATTAAGACTATACTATTTCTGTACCGGCAATTTACAGGAAAATCTCAACCCACATAACTCAATTCTTGGTGTGCCACTATTTATAGGACAATTTACTTGATGTTGGTGTTGAATGTTGATGTTGTTCCTATTAATATATGATAAATGTGTCTTATATATCATACGTTCTCATGTCTCAAGACATATTATTCGAACATATGATTACACATTAGTAATGGTCTAATAACATGTCAATAACAGTAATACAACAAACCATAAAACATGTTTCATATGATTTTGATACATCTTAAATAAGTTTGTCAGTATAATTTAACCATACTAAAATATGTTTCATTTTTTATACATCTTAAGAAAAAGTTTGTTTTAAGTTTAACTTAACCCGTTGATATTTGTCTTTAATCGACACCATGTTAATCAGTATTAGAATGAAATTTGATGTGACAAAAGCCTGCAATTTATACTTGTAATGATCTAATTTGTTTGATTTGGGTGGTATATATGTTGGGCAACGTCAATGGATTCTTTGACGATGATCATATAAATGTGAAGACCATGATGAAGAGTTTGACTTTTCATTACCTTCGTTTTCACTGTAAAATCAAAATCAAAGCCCAGTTTTCAGCGCACGAACAGCGCTGGATCATCTCTTCAAGGCATCCGTTTTCTTTTTTCAAGAACTGGTATTTAGGCAAAAGAAGGTTTTTAAGAAGCNAAGCAGTCCTGAAAAGGAACCATTTTTTTCTTTCAATGGCTATAGCTGTAAGCTTAAAAGAATATGAGAATCTTCAACCTTTTCCAAGCTAATAATTACAGGTGTGCTTAGCTGTTTGTGTCAATTTGCAGCATGGCCATTTAACAGTGATGCCTTCATTTTGATAATAATAATAATAAAAAGAAAGATATTAAGGAAAGTTGTTTAAATGGGGGCATTTTGCATGAGATATTTACACAAGAGGAAGGTGCAGGGAAATTTCCCTCCAGTGAAAGAGCCATCGCTTTTGTTGGAAAAGTTTAGCATTTCCAAGCTACAGTTAGTATGAGTATGCGAGCCAAAGTTTAGATCAGAATTTGGGTCACAGAAAAAATACACTGGACTGGATTGAAGCTGCAAAAAGTTGCACATCTTTCATCTTATGTTCCTTTTCTTGTGCTTCTATCCGAATGTCTTGTGATGCATTGCTTTTTTCATACCTGAATTGCATTGCTTTGCATTTCATGCGTTCAGGGGTATAACTTTTTGTAACTTTTACAGTGTGATCGTCCACTTGGATCCTTTGGCATTAGAGCTCTTTATTGACAAAGAACAACATGGTTGTGTTGTGTCTGATGTGAACCTTCGGGGTGCATCTTCTTCTCCAGGAGTTTTCTGCAAATTGTAACATGATATACACCGAAACTGACAAAGAAAACAAGTGGGGTCAAGTATACACATCCAACAAATCGGAACATTATTAATTATATCATATGTCGTTTTATTGCCATTTGCGTGTTTTTATTGAAGACTTGGAGCTCATTCACTCGAAGATAAAAAGATAAAAATATTTAAACAAGAGCTCGTTCACTTTACGTTTCTTCCAGCTAGTTAACTTTGCTCGAACACATTTTCAAAGTTTGTGTTTACGTGTTTCTGTTAGAGTAAAATACCAAAATCATCTACTATTTTACTACATATAGGTACATTAAAAAAAATTAAGAGAGTCAACGACTTACAAGGTCGCGTATTGTGGTGTCTAACCACAATTTCTCAGTGGCAGATCTTGAGACATACGTGTAGACAGCATGAGGATTATCTTAATTTAATGCTAGAAAGTATAAGATAAACGAATGTCAGAAGCAAATAAGCATTGAGATGAGTTTCCAATGGTTCAAAACCAGAATCAAAGGCAATAAATGCAGAGTATTATTCTGGTAACAGACTAGAGAGAGTTTGAAGAAGTAGAAACTTTGAACCTGAAGGTAAGATATTATTTAGACCAAACCAAGTTCTCTCGTATTTGTTTTTTGTTTTATCCTAACAGTAACTTTCAAGTAAAACAAGACTGAAAAATATACACCCATATAAAGGCACTGGTTTCCATGTGAAGAAGAGTATTTTCAAAGAACCAAATTTGGTACATTAAACTTGTTGTCCCTGTTATTGTATTGCCTCATAAATTAGCACCATTGCTGAATAAAAAACAAATGGTGAAGTGTTTTATTACTGAATGGAATCCATCATTTCATGGGTCACCGAAATGATTTCCAATTATGCAGTTTGTTTAAAAGGTAGTTTACCTAACCCCCTCTCTTGGTGCTCATGAAATCAATCTGCGTTCTATTCCTCGTGCACGTCCACCCTTAGTGAAAAAATGGCCTAATTAATATCATAAGTCAGAGATAATAATACTTTAATAATATTTTTTTATAATATTTTAACATGTATCATTTTGTTATTATTGATATTAATATTTATGATTATCATTATTGATTATGAAATAATTTTGTATCAATATAAATATTAAAATGTTATTAAAAAAAATATTTTCAAATATCAGTTATCCCTTGTCAAGACCATCATAACCAACTTCTGTCCCCATTTTTCTACTCGTACCTTACTGCTAAACAGGAACTAAACGTGCCAATCATCATTGGTTTTCCTTTACGTGATTTCTGTGACCCTACATTGACAACAACGATCAATAACATTAAAGAGCTTCGAAATAAGAGACTCTTCTTTCTCTATGACTTGAGCACACTTGCATATGCAGGAACAGTACAAGGACAGTGTCAGTGCCATTATATTCAGTTTTTTATTCATCATTCAGAAGGGAAAAAAGGGGATGTCTAAAATAATACATAAAATAACTTTATACCATTCTTTTCGTGACTCTCGTTGATGTCGAAAAGAAATTGAATCTTAGCAATTTGTTTTGAAAAGGTGAACATACCTTTTTATAAAGGTATACTAATCTCATTTTGTGATATGTTTATGAGCAGATAAATTGATGATGTTGTAAAATAGTGACTCTCTTGTATACTTTTACAAGATTAATTATATTAAGACTATACTATTTCTGTACCGGCAATTTACAGGAAAATCTCAACCCACATAACTCAATTCTTGGTGTGCCACTATTTATAGGACAATT